TCTGCAGTGTCTGTTTCTCATTTCCAGTTGTCTACAAACGTGGTATGCACCATGCGCGGTTCACACCTATATAAAATCACTGACCATGCACAGCATTTTATCATTCTGATGCATTTTGTCAGATAAGGCTATCAGTTGGTCAAGCAGTTTTGAATGTTGATGAGCATTTGTGTCCCAATTTCCATCCTTATCGATTTTGTTGTTGAGACATATGAAACCAGCCAACTTTTTCCAATCTGAATGTCAACAGATATCTAATGGCTTTCTGTCTTCACTACAGTTTTGTGGATGAACAAAATTTTTGATTTTCTTGGCATTAATTTTTAATCCATATTCCAAGCTCTTATCGATTATTGACTGTACCATCTGTTATGAGCCTTCTGCTGACTACAATCACCATCATGCCATCATAATAGCAGACATCATTTATCTGCATATTTTGAACTCCATTCTTGGACAAAAGGCAAACTTAGGCAACAAGGCTCTACGAAGTGAACCAATCACTACTATGCTATGTTAACACTCTGCCTGTTTTGGTTTTAAATCTGTTAATAGAGTTGAAAACAATCTGATTTTTTTCAAAGTGACTGCAACCACTTGAAACTATGCCAGCGTTACTGGCTATAAATAAAAAGGTTTGTTTAGTTGATGCACATTATAACTGTATAAAGTATGCAGTATACTCGATTCAGTTTTTTTAAATCAAAGTCTAAAGATCAAATATCAATTTACAATATATTGACAGTTACAGTAATACAAAACAAATCAAAAACAACAAATCAACAATTACAGACGAGTTATAATTTACACAAAATAATTCAAATAGGAAATTAAGCATTTAATAGTTTTGATGTTATTAGTTTTGATTAAGTTAGTTGCTGCTTACAGTAGGCTCACAAACAGGACATTCACTGTCTGTTACAAACACACGTTTAAACCTCTTGTTAGGTGTGGGGGAGGGGAAGAACAGGACTTGAATCTTTCACAGAACCATTATATATTTTTTTGAAAAACAAGAGAACAAAGATCAGTGTATTTTTGGAAGGGGGCAAAAACTCATCCTAACTGTTGAAAACATAGTTGAAATATTTAACAAAGTCCAGTACCTGAACAGCAGCACGGTTGTGGCTTCAGAATTTTACAGTAACACCAAATATTTCCACTTAACATGTAAACGGAGCTGAACCATCTGGCATATTTTCGGCCTGTCTGGCTTTGTCAGAACCTATCAAATAACCAGTTTGGTCCAGTCCACTATACAGAGTTAAACAGCCATGACACTGGTAACATGCTGAACAAAAACACTACTGTGTCTATATGAATCAACTTCGACTAGTACCTAAAAATAGTGAGACCTGCATGACTACAGGAGAAACTTAAGCATACAGACAATGATTGCACTGTCTACATTTACAATCAGCATGTTTAACTTAGCCTCACCCACAGGATAATAATTTTAACGACTATAATTTTTTTTAAACAGTTGACCAAATTTTAAGCAAATGACCCATTGCAGCCACAGTCAAGTTCTTTTTTGCATCAAGTGGAATGCCGCAGTTAACATTTCCTGGCCTCATAGATAAGTCAGTGTGTTAAAGTAAACAATTTATACCAGCAACTGCTTTCAAATCAAGAAAATGAAGAAGGAATTTCACAGACAAAAGTTCAAATAGAAAAAAAACGTTAAAACAGCACTTATATATCCCTCAAAAAAAATAATAAATTGGTCATTTTCAATCCACGACTGTTTGTGGGATACTGCTGTACGTAATTGGCTGCCGCATTTCGCTCACAAATATACAGTCAATTCACTTCAGAGCCTATTCTGTGAAGTGCTTTGAGACATCTAGAAAACATGAAAAGCGCTGTATCAAATACAAGGATTATTATTATTATTTTTAGTTTTCAATACCAGCAAATAGTGGGTATATTCTATGCACAATCAAACCTCATTACTTATACGGCAACCAAGAAAAGTTGTTCTTATGGTTTCATTTTATCAAATCTTAAGGATTTTTAAAAACAGATTAAAATGAAGCTTTCACAGAATTTTTAAGTCAAGTAATTGCTAACATACATATATCAACTAAGTTGATATATTTAATTTATTATATGTAAAAAAACTAACATACATAACTTTCACTAACCTTTTAAATTAAAGCTTCCATTTTTATCAAATTTACATCAGAGCTAAACCCAATTTATACAACTAACAGTTTTAGTTACAGAGCTAGAAATTAATCTTTCAAAAAGAACAGTTGACTGTCACTTGGTCAGTGTAAAACTGCTGATTTGTCAACATAAAATAAAAAGATAAAATAAAAAGCACTTCCTGTAGTTTATAAATAGTCGTGATGTTTACTGGAGGTGATTTGTACAAAGCATATACTTGCCAAATATGGTAAACCATATGCCAGTGTTGGAACACATGTACTACTCCCATCAGGCCAGCTAAACTTCATTTGTTAGTCACCCATTGCAAAAAGCAAATGTCTCAATTAAGAGAACTATTGTTAATTTCAACCCTATTATACTGAAGTTTGTTTTCTAGTTAACTTGGTAAAAAAAAACGCTGTAGCTTTGATATTTGTTAAGGTCAATCCTAACAATGTTTCTTTTCCAGTTGTCAGATCAATTACTGATGATTGGAAGGATGAACTTACAGTATTGAAGGTCATTATTTTTGAAAAACAACAACTTTTCAGATTTTTTAAATAGAGGGCACAGTCCATTTCGAATAACCTTGTACCTCTTGAATAAAATTGTGTAATCTGTGCCCTCAATGCATAAGTGCATTTATCAAACAAAGTTCCTTCCACCATTCACGTTTCAGTGATCATACCGAAATGTTACTACCGAGGTGGCCATAGGTGGCACAGAGCAAACAGGAAGTTCTGTGATGAACAATCATCAATGAACTCTGCATGTAATACTTTAGAATAAACAATAATACCAAAAAATAAGAACAGCTTTATCATTTGTTTCAGTGGAAATGTACAACATCTAATAATGAATTGACTTCCATTTCCCTTATTTACAAACGTACTCTTTCTATGCCAAAACCATCAGGAGTCAGAAGGGTTTGAGGTCCAAAAATAACCATCAACCTGGCCAATGCAAGATTCACAAGCTTCAAGTAAACTGACAATGATCATGCATGTGTTCAACTTCATGGCAAAGGATACTGAATTACCAAGCATTCACCACAATCTATGTATTTGTTCGGGAAATAGGTATGAATTAATCAGAATCAATAACTCTCTCCGCAAGAAAATAATTTCCATGACCAGTGCTGAGATGGGTAGACCAAAGGCAAAAAGTCAATTTCATTTTGAACTTAACCTGCTTTGTTCAGAAGACATGCCAATTGATCCAATGCACATTTAAACACAATTTCCTGGAATAGGTATCTAGTTAATTTATGGTTGATGTCAAATACTGTGTCCAATCATCATATTCACTAATCCTTACAGGTCACAATAATAATAGATAGCTCCATTGCTTATTTAGAGTGTAACTAACTCCAAACAGCGATGACAATACTATTCAAGGAAAACAAATTAAAAGATCTGTCATGACCAAATAAACAGGTGGTACAGGCGTGGCAGGATGCATGGCCTTCTCCTGGTGAAGTAATATTTTTAGCTCCAGTCAATTCTGCAAAGGCCACGATCACTGGAGAAACAAGTGACTAATACCTCCAATATAATGGAATACTGTATTTTCAAAGTGAAGTTGGTTGGTATTGGACATTATTTCCTAGGGGTCCAGCAGTTTTAGACAACAAATCTTGCCTCTGCCTCCGGTTGTTTTTAAATGGGCCACAATAAATAGCATACCTGTGGTTACATGGGGTTTTGATACATTGGAAAGCACAAAACTAACCATTAAAAGTAACCAGAACAAGGACAAGTGTATTAATATTAACAGTGGGTTCCTGAGAACACAACAAGTTTGGGGATAAGTTAAATGTTGGTACAAACAGAACTTGCTTTCCTACTGCATTACCCAATGTTTTGGATAAATAGGTTACTCAAGTTAAACCTCCAAATATAAAACATTCTGGTTTTCCAAATAATATTTCTACTCCACAATTGCAGTTTTTATTCTCCCCACAAACAAAATTTAGGGAAGCCCAATTTTTAAGCAGTTAGACCCAAAGTCTACTGAAGTCCTGCAAAATTAATTCACACATCTCAAGAGGGCTTTCACAAATCAGCTGATGACTTCTACCAATTTACCCATCATCGCAATACCTTCTTCCCATTCATAACATGACACTCAAAAGCTTGATCTCCAGTTATTGGAATAAACAATAAAACATCCAAATCTGATTCCAGTTTTGTCCAATTATAGATATTCTTTCAGCAATACATCCCAATTTAATTCACTCATGGATACTTTTAGTACCCTAATTAGTAGTTTGTTTCTGGAGAAAGGGAAGAGAAATCTGTGCCAATGTTCACATAGGCAGTGATTGACAGCAAGGAAGGGTGTTCATAAAGGGCATCCGAGGTTGAACATCTCAAAGTATTTAACAAATTTTAATTTACAATTTATGACCAAGATTATTGTATTCAGAAACACTCAACAAGTTGCAAGAGAATAATCAGACATGAGTCCTTTCCCTTCTCCATAACAGATTTCCTTAAGTGTTTTCTTTGACTTCTTGCTGATTAGCATTTGTAAAACTGTACATTCATATATATCCTTTATGAAATTCATAGGCTCTCATTTTACATTTGTTTTTTTTACACAATTATAACCTTTTGCACTAAAAATAAATAGAAATGGACTAGACACAGGTGAAGTAGCAACTTGTGCATATTTTGAATACTTTCCTGCATCTGGTAATTCAAAATAATCGTTGCAATTAACATGGCCCACTCATTCGAAAAAAAATCTGAATTCTTCATTGGCTGACAATTTGTTGTACTTTGCCCAGACATGTTCAGGGAACACAGATCTCAATTGAACACCAACCATCGAGCGAGTAGTACCTTTTGTAAACAATCTGTATCTCCTGCATTTTTTGTTCACTACGTCGCTTGTTTTTTTGGAAAAAGAAGTGGAGACTTGCAGTGAAGATTTTTTTGCACAGGAAAAAGACCAGGCCCTGGCGAAAACATTCCTCCCTCTCCCCCCCCCCCCTTAAAAATAACAGGAATTTTATAAAGGATTTTCCTTTCTCCCCCCCCCTTGTATGCACTTAGAAAAACTGGCTGCTTCTGGGGCGGATGGATTGCGTGAGAAAAACCAAGGACACAGTCATCATCAGCGTGTCCGTCACCTGACTCCTCTCAGAACAGTGTAATAACAAAAAAAAACATGAGATCATACACTGAAAGCTTGGAACCATTTACACCCCATCCTTCCCCCCCCTTTTCAAAAATTAAACTTTTCTTTTACTTTTCTTGGTTCGGCAAATACATCCAACATCGGTGAGTGTTCCTCCATGACTTCCAAAAAGCACTGGGCTTAAAAACAACACCCACCACTCCCCCCCCCCCTCCCACACACACAACACCCACCACTCCCCCCCCCTCCCACACACAGAGAGAGACACACACAACACCCACCACTCCCCCCCCCACCACACACACACAACACCCCCCCCCCTCCCACACACACAGAGAGAGACACACAACACACACCACTCCCCCCCTCCTCCTCCTCCCACACACAGAGAGAGACACACACACACAACACCCACCACTCCCCCCTCCCACACAGAGAGAGACACACACAACACCCACCACTCCCCCCCCCACCACACACACACACAACACCCACCACTCCCCCCCCCACCACACACACACAACACCCCCCCTCCCACACACACAGAGACGCACACACACCCACCACTCCCCCCCCACACACACAGAGACACACACACACCACCACTCCCCCCCCACACACACAGAGACACACACACACACCCCCCCTCACACACACAGAGACACACACACACCACCCCCCCCCCCACCACCACACACACAGACACACACACACCACCACCCCCCCCCCCCCACCACACACACAGACACACACACAACACCCACCACTCCCCCCGCCCCACCCCCACACACAGACACACACACAACACCCTAACTCCCCCCCCCACCACACACACAGACACACACACAACACCCACCACTCCCCCCCCACCACACACACAGAGACACACACACAACACCCACCACTCCCCCCCCACACAAGACAGCATGAAACTAAAAAAGAGAGGGTGGGGAGAGGAAGATGCACTCTCCCTACCCCCGGGCCGGGCTGAGCGGGGCCGAGCCTCCTGCCCGGGCTAACTGAGCCTTTGTACGTGTGTGTGTGTGTGTGTGTGTGTGGGGGGGGAGAGCCCTCCCTTCCCCGCGCACCAGACGGGGGGAGACGTCCGCCCCGGTGGTGCCGGTACCGCCGCCGCCGCCGCCGCTCCGTCCGCTCGGCGATGATTTGATTATTTTTTTTGAACCGCACACTCTCGCACGTCCTCCTTCCCCCCCCTTTTTTTTAATGATAACAACGACGACGACGACGACCAATAAATAAATAAATAAATAAATATATTTTTGTTAAAAAAAAATAGACCCTTTTTTTTCCCCCCCCAACGAAAGGGGCCAAACGGTCGCCCGCGCGCCCGCGCTCGCTCGGCTCGAAGCGGATCGAAGCGAACCGACGCCGAAGGAAGATTTCGCGCGACCGAAATTGTACGGGAAATAGTTTTTTTTTCCTTTTTTTTTAAAAAATAGCATAATAAACAAACACGAGGGGGGGAGGAGGGGGGGGGGGGTTGGTGCTGGTGTGGGGGGGAATTATTTTTGAAGATGCGAACTCGAACCGAAGCCACATTTCCCGCTCCACTCCCCTCCCCCCCCCCATCACCACCACCACCACCCCTCAACCTCCCCTCCCCCCCACTCCTCCTCCTCCTCCTTCCCTCCCTCCCTCCCCCCCCCCCGCCCCCCCCCCAACAACACACACGATCCGAGTCCCGTCCTCCATCTTAGATCCACACTTCGGTCGCCTTTTTTTTTCCACTTTAAAAAAGAAGAGGTAAAAGTTCGAAAATACCGACCGTTGCCGCCCATGTCGGAGCCGTCCGCCGCTCGCCGCTCGAGCGCGCGAGGAAATATCGAGTTTTAAAATTGATTAAATTAAAAAAAAATGGGAATAGTTATAACGCCGCCGTCTTCTCACAGGACGAACAATCCTCAGCCGCCATCTGGTGGTATTTTCCACAATCGAATGGCGCAATGCAAATCCAGACAAACATCGCCCTCTGGCGGCCGCCGCCCGCCTCGCCGGCGCGGGCGCGCGCGGGTTGCGCGCGCGGGGGGGGGGCGCTCGCGCGCTCGCCGGCCCGGCCTAGGGCGCGTGCCTGCTCCCCGGCCGCCGCCGCCGCCGCGGCGTGCGCGCTCTCGCCCCCGCCATCACGCCGCCGCCGCCGCCGGTTTTTCCTCTCCTCTTTCTTCCCTCAGGTCTGCGCTACGTTGCGTGATTTCCCCCCTCCCACACCCCAACCACTTCCGCGCACGTGCGCTCGCTCGCTCGCGCGATCCCCCCCCCTCCCCCCTCACTCACACACACACACACGCACACGTGCGTGCGAGCGAGCGAGCGCGCCGATCGACTGTGCGCGTGTGCGTCATCACGCCGACTACGCACACAAGCGCGTCTGATTGAAAGAGAGAGCGAAAAAAAACAGCCGTTAGTGAGAGGGAGGGAGCGGGGGGGGCGGGGCCCCCGCGCGCTGACCGACGATAATAATTCAAAGAAAGGGCAGGAGAGGGGGGGCGGAGAGGGGGGGAAGAAGATTGGAAGGGGAAAAAAAACCGTCGAACGTTTTAATATCCAGAGATTTAACAAAAAAAAACACCCTTTTTTTTTGAAGCTGGAACGGGGGGGGATTGAGATGTCGTGTCGAGTGTTTTTCTCTCTCTCTCTCCCTCTCCCTCTCTCTCTCTCTGTCTGTCCGCCCTGTCGTGTTTTGTCCCGATGCTGCGTCAAAGATCCGTCGTCATCTTCTTCTTCCCCCACTCCCATCTCACCCTCACCCCCCTCCCTCCCCCCCACCATCACCCTCCCCCCCCACCATCACCCTCACCCCACTCCCCAACGACGCCACGAACAGGAAGAACCCAGTGAGAGGCATCATGGCCGCCGAGTCAGCGAGTGAGTGAGTGAGGGGGAGGGAGAGGGAGGGAGACACACACACACACACACACAGGCAACGCAGCACAGGCAGGGAGCGCTATGGCTCCTTCCTGACCCAAATGAGAAGCTCTCTCTTTCTCTTTCTCTCTCTCTCTCTCTCGAAGCTTTGGGATCATTTGTTTACGCATAAAAAAAATCTCCAGTTGTTTCAGCTTTGTCTCTCTCTCTCACTCACTCACTCACTCCCCCAAACACACACACACACGCACACACACACGCACAAAAATGTTCAAATCACTCATTGCAGATACATAAATAATCCTTAACATTGGATTTAGCGCCTTTCAGAACAGTTTGATTTGCAGGGTTCAACTGGAATGACTTTGGGGGGCGGGGGTGGGGGGGAGGGGGTATTTTGGAGGTAATCGACCCCACTTAAGCAAATAATAACCCACAAACGCGCCAGGAAGTGAGTGGACATTTTTTATTCGTGGGATTGTCAAGACAATCTTTTTGAACAGTGCTGTGGGGGGGGGAGATCTTTTAACATTTATCTGAACGAGCAGAAAACGACGACGACGTGATTACATCCGTACAGCGCCTTTCAGGTCGGGAGAACGCCCCGAGGCGCTGGACAGTGTACAGCATTTCAGACCCGAGCTGGGGTTCGGGGTGGGGTGGGGGGGGGGGAGAGGGAGGAGAAGGGGGGGCGACCGATGGCGTGGTCGAAGAGGAGGGTTTTGAAAAGACCTTGTGTGCGTGTTTTTTTTTAAACGTCTCCAACCAAGCGACGCACCGCCCAGAATTGTTATTGGAGGGGCAGCCTAGATTTTGACGACAAAGACACAATAATAATAATCCTTGCATTTGATATAGCGCTTTTCACGTCGGGAGGACGTCCCAAAGCGCTTCACAGAACACACTGTAAAGTGAGTTGACCGTATATTTGTGGGCGAAACGCGGCAGCCAATGGCGCACAGCAATGCCCCACAAACAGTCGAAGATTGAAAATGACCAATTTATTATTGTTTTGTTTTTTTTTGTGTGGGGGAATGGGTTATTTCAGTGTTGAAAGTGAAAACTCATGGGGGAAACGTAGCTGTTTTATCAAGTTTTGCTGGTTTTGCCCCTTCCTGAAGATACAGGGCCAGACTTCCATCTATGCCAGTTACCACTCACAGTCTCACCTTGGAGGGCATTCTTCAGATGAGAAGTGGGAGAGAGATCAAAGCAGAGATCAATCCTGTTGCCACCTGATTTCAACATGTGAACTTTCCATTAGGGGTCATTGGTTTGTGATTAGGTGGAAAACCCTGGCAGATTTATCTATACTTCCCACATGTAGAGACACCAAGGCCATCTGTATAACATCATCATCCACTTAAAATAACTTTACAAAATATAGAGGAGAATTAAAACTGAATGACATACTGAGTCATGTAACAAAACCAACAAGATGGATTGGCAAGTTTGTGCAGATTTAGTCAATTTCACCCTAAATACACTTTGGGCGAAATTGACCATCTTGTGTGTTTCAAAGGCTGGAAGGCAGAGAGGATGGAGTTCCAAAGAATAAGGGCAAAATATCTGGAAGTTTAACACCAAATAGGGGCATGAAATTCAGAGAGGTTGCAATTCTTCATTTGTCAATTTAAACTAAATTTTGGCTGAGTATTTGATGATTGGGGCCAGGGAGCATTACAGCCAAAGCCGACAGTTTCCTTGCCTGAGGTCTATGCATCTGCACTTTAAAGCGGTCACGAATATTCTTTTGCCAATCTTCCATTCTGTTCTAAATCTCAGCATTTAGTTCGCCAGCCTGCTCACATTGTTACAATTGAAATTTTTTTTTAGATCAAGAGGTAGAAGTTCAAAAAGATTTCCATTAAAAAAATATTTTTACCTTTTTTTTAGCTGAAATCAGTGGAAACTGCTTATGGGAAGAGAGAAAGGGACAGAGCTGTGAATTTAACACCAATTTAGGCAAATTACTAGAATTCATCATCCAGGACGGAGCAACTGAGTATCTGGATAATTAGGAAAATATCAGAGAGTCACAATTCCGGGGTTATGTGAAAGGAATATCATGCCTGACTAATCTGAATTCTTTAACAAAACCACTGAGGTGATAGATAAAAGAGGATTGATGAAAGTAATTCATATGGCTTTTTCAAGATTGCTAGCTAAAATTAAGAAGCATTGAATTGGAAGGGATATTGTGACATGGATGGGAAATTGATTCAGATTTGGGATAAAAGGAATATTCTCTGATTCGTGGGCAGTGACAAGTGGTATCTCAGCTTTTCACAATATATATTAAATCAGATTGGAAAGGAGTATCTCCAGCTCTGCTCATAAAACCAACCTAGGGGGTTTCATAAATTGTGAAAAAGGGAGCAGAAAATTGCAAAGGGACTTGAAAAGATTAGATAAGTAGGCAGAACTATGATAGCTGGAATTCAACCTAGATAAGTATGAAGTTGTACATTTTGAACAAGAATAGTGAATAGGAATACATTTTAAATGGAGAAGCAGCAGGAGACAGAAATTAGGAGGTCTAAGATCGTTTGCAGGAGACAGTGATCTCTGGTAGAGAGGAGGGAAAACATGAGGAAATTATTAAAAGAGCAGAACTGGAATTGGTAATTCAATTTGTAATACCTCACTTTTTTGTCGTAAGATTTTTAATTTGAATTTGCGCTCAGCTCCGGGAAGCTACCAGTGTGAAGGGCGCTATATAATGCAAGTTTTTTTTTGGATAAAGCATTTCATTTAACAGTAAAAATAACACATACAAAGAAATTTGATTCATTGAATGTATTGTTTTTTAATCCACAAAGAAACAGGAGATGAGTCACTAATGGAATGTAAAATGCTGGAAAGAAATATTATGTTCTGTACATTATATAAAGATATGGCCTACTCAGATGTTAGAAAAATAAAAGCCAAAGGTGGCACAGGATTGAGTGAGACAGCAGAAGGAGAATGACACGGCTATGAAATCTGATAGTAGAGGAGACAGATTGTTGTTTGAATTGTTCAAGCAAATGTTGAGACCAGTGAACAAAGAGAGTGCCCAGGAGGAATATGCTATACTGCTCCAGAAGTTTGTATTGAAATTAGTGGATTTTTCAAAACGCAAATCATAAAGGCATGTAATGCTTTGATTCGTCAGTATTAAGCAAAGTGCCAGAGATGTAGTGAAACTATTGTCATCGACAAATACAGACAATCTGTTGGTATGCACTAATCTGGACTCAAGCAGAGGGCACAGTGGGAGGCATGAGCTGATTGCTTGACCAAATGTGAGCCTTTTATTCAGTGCTTCCTCAAATGTTCTTACCTTCTGCTGTGTCATCTAGAAAATCTAACTGCTTTAATTTAATCCTTTGTAAGGTATAAAACTAATGGGATCAGAAGATATGCTGGGTACAATTCCTGTAAATTGGAACCTATATCCCATTCTCCTGACTGCTGTTTCGGTTCCATTGTATGAGTTTCCTCCGTAGTAATAAAAACAAATTCTCGTGTCTGTCCAATTTATTTTCATTTTACCAGAGGTTTGGAAATATATTATGGTTCTTACTGAATTTGTATTTTGTTGTCTAGTTCATCTAAGCATCCATAAGAAAATGTGCTTGGGTAACTTGCTTGATTGTGATGAAGAGAATTATCCTAGAAAATTGATAATCAAAATATAGTAACTGTCATTTTCAACTTAAAAGTAATACGGTGTATTGTGGGATAAGACAATTAGCGCTATTTGCCAGCTCTTCAGTACACTCGGGTAAATAATAATCCTTAACAATCCCTAAATTTGATATAGTGCCTTTCATTCAGGGAGGATGTCTCAAAGCACTTCACCGAATATACTGTAAAGTCTAGTGACTATATTTTGTAAGTTAATGTAACTGCTAATTTGCGCACAGCATTGTTCCACAACAGCAATGAAGTGAATGACAGGTTTTATTTGGGGATGTTTGGCCAATTTGTTCTTGAATCCTCTTTTTGTTTGTCTCTTCAGGGCATTAATTGAGGATCAGATTTATGGGTAAGGGCTTGCATCGGAGATCTTCCATTCGCCAAGGTCTGAATTGAATTGAAAGTTCTATTCTGTTTGAAAAAAGAAACGGGAAAATGGTAAAAGATAACACTTCTATATAAATGGATTATCTTCATATTTCACCTGTGGATTAACAGGCTGCTTCATATAAAATCTCATTCCCTTTCGTATTTCTAAAATGCCAATTCCTCTTGCTGGCTCAGTGACAAGCTCAGGGACTGGTTCTTTCTACTATCTATCTTTCTGCACTGTTCTTTTGGCCATCTGGTCTCTTTAACTCTTTTGTTACCATCTTTGTCTTCTGTTTTCATTTACATTTGGTTAAATAGATATTGCAAGGAGGAATGTATTAATTCTTTGTCCATTCTTCCGTCCATCCGCGTGAGCTCTGATATTGTCTTCTTTATTTGCGGCAAAATTAAAAGCATATCATCATACTAGCAGATACTGCCTAATAATAGAAATTAATTTGAAGCCTGCTGGTTCCTCTTGGCAAAGTTTGGCTGCTAAGGGCAGCTTGAGCAGAAGGGGAAAGGCATCACTCACAATCAGCTGTCTCAATCAATATTTAATATTCCCTTACCAAAATATTAATTTATATTATTTTAGTTCAACTTATAGCTTCAGAAGCTTTGCAGACTTTCACAAAGCGCAAATTTTAATGGAGCATCATTAGAAGAAAACAACTTGATATGATCACGAGGTCTGGGCTTGGCCTCATTTTGCAGTTTGTCCAAGTCTCCCACAGTCCTATCCTTATGAAAATTACAGAAGGGTAGTTGAGTCAGCTGCAGTGAGAACTGCATTTTACTTTGAAAAGAACTGTTATGTCTTTGATTTCCAAGATGAGTCTAACAGATTGTCTCATCTGCAATCCAAAATGCTGTTTCATAGTTGCATTCTGACCTTCAGACATCTCAGGATCCAGACAACCATAAACTTTTGAGAGCTTGTTTTCTTGGGGAACAAATCTCCTAAAGGTAAATTGTTCAACACAGACCAGCAGATTATACACACTGATTTTCTTTTTGAAAGCATAGAAGCCTTCAGCAGCGCGCAGAAAGCATTTATTAGTTCTCTTATCACAGCTCATCACACTTCTGTCTTTTGAATTAAAAAAACAAAAAATTCTCAAACCGAACAGGGCAAATTCTTGATCTTGAGTGCACCATTTGGAAGTAGGTGCTGTTATTGATTGTTTGTAATGTCACACAATGATTGTACTAGGGAATGATTTGATTTGGTGGAATAATTTATAAGCATTTTTAAAGGATACAGAAACAATTGCATTTTCATAGGGCCTTATCGTGTCAAACGTGTATAAAAGGATTCAGATAATCGCAGTTAAGTCCAGTGCCTGCTTTACAGGCAAATTTAGAACATATGATGGAACCCCTCAAGAAATTTTGGTTTCTAGAAACGTAAAAATCTAAATTCCTTCAAAATTATTAATAATATACAATATGTTCAACCTATTTTTATGCATTTGCAGGATTTTCTGTTTTATTTGGGCTCCAACATTTGCAATTCTTTTTATCTTCAGCATTTTCCTGATCCTCAACCAGTGGTCAAGCATTATGACAAGCCAGAAATCTATAAAAAAAATCTGCAAAATGTCAACCTACAGGTAGCAAACATGTATTCTCAAAATTCCTGGAAAGCTTTTCAATTACCTTAGTCCACTGCTTTTCTCTGAATCAGTTATGTGAAATATGAATCCCAACATAATACAAATGTTGTGATGTGACATTCTTGTTATGTCAAGCTCATTGGTACTGATAATGCTGAATACACAATTGGGAATTCAGTTGGTTATTTCCAGTTTTGATGCAATAACAAATTTGCTGGTTATTGTGAAAATCATTTTGTTACAGGATTGCCATCTGGTGGTCATGAATCATATTTTACAAAACAAGACCATAATTCCTTTGTAAATAAAGAGAATTAACCTTAATTATTTTCAAATGTCTGTCACCATCTATATTTTTATGAAACATTTATAAATAGAGAGAGATCGAAGGAATTTAGAAGGCAGTTTGCTTTATGAACACAAATTACATTCAACACATTTAAATAGCTTTTTGAGGGTGAGGAGTGATGGCATTGCATGAATCCAAATTCCCTATGATACTAACATTCCATATAGCACCATTCCATATAGCTTTCTTTATGCAGCAAGAAACAGCTTTCTTTAAAATGTCATTTCTTTAAAATGTTGCGATATTTAGGTATAATATTGAATGGAGTAAGCCATTTCTTGATTCTCCTCCAGTTACAGCAGCATTTAGCCTGAGCCAGATGCATTTAATCTGTTTATTCTGAACATCTGCTTCCTGTGTTCGTCAGAGTTCAGGAAGGTCAATCAAGTTAGAAAAAAATGACTGCAAAGTTCAAATTCAATGTGACTGTTGCTATTTGTATTTAACCTCACTCAAATAGAAGATTTGGGGCGTTCATTCAAAAAGAAATGATCTCAGCATGTGACCAGGATTGTTTGAAACAGAAGATAATATCTAAATGAAGATTTCTCAAACAGAATGTTCTTTTATGTGCGATTATTCTTATCAGATCCTTGTATTTTTCCGTGTTAGTTTTTTCAAAATATATTTTGAAAATAGTGACATCAGAAACGTTAATGTAGGATTTTGCTTTTGAAAGCTGTGAAGATGACTCGTTGCTAAAAGGTCTTTTTTAAAAAAAACTTCAATTGAACATGAGTAAGAAGCAGTGGTACATAGTCACTTCTTCACTAGGGGGGAGGAGGGAAAAACAGCTGCAAATTAAGAGCCTGGATACATCTGTTGCTGTGTGATTTTTCATGGGTCTCAACATTGGGTCCATGATATTACAAGTGGCTGTCAACCATTCATACCAAAAACAGCTGAATTTTGCTTAGACCAGACTGCAGCATTTTCTGTCTCTTACAGTGCAGCGTTGTCCAAGTAGCACCAGCAGAGGGCAATGATATTGCATTTGCTGATGCAGCATCTTTATCTTGATTTGCTAATATGTTTACAGAACAGTTCCAGCATCAGCTAAGAACTTTTTAAATAATCGACTTGTTTTATAATGTTTAAAATTAAAAAAAATTTTTGAAACATATGGCCAAGGTGCAGAGCAACAGGCAGCAAAACTAAACATTATCTGTCCAAAGCCAACAGAGGATTGATTGTCTGTCGAAAGCCAACTGATGATACTCATTGGTGAATCCTATGACTAAGTGCATTTGAGCCTCATCATTGAAGGGTCCACTGTGACAATCACATTGAAATTTTTTAAAAGTTATTTTATTCTTTTTTCTTTCCCCTTTAGGTTCTAATACATCCTGCATCAATCCCTATCTGAGAAGAATGTAAGAGGCAACTTGCTCAAAAACCCCTGGCAGTGCCACTCTAGCATTAAAAAGGTATGTAGCAGAGTGATTTGTTACGTAATTCTCCTCACCTTCCTGGAGCCAAGCATCTGGCATCTTCTCATTTGATCTCTTGGTTAGATTGTTCAAAATAAAAAGTGATATCGGCATGATATCTTGGCTGCAATCCATATTCCACCATTCAACTCGGCTTCACAACATGTTAAAGCACGAATGTGCTTCACCACTGCAGTGTTCTGGTACATATTTTTGAACAGCTCTCAATGTGGCTCACCACTGATCCTACAAGCGACTGTCTGGCGAGCATTTCCTCTGAAGACTGCAATGCATGTGTGGGTGGTCCTTGATGTGGGAAGAATGTTTTTGGAAATGTTAACCGTTTAAAATGAATGCATACCAATCTTCAGGAGAAATCTTTAAAACAAAGTGTGCAACTTGGAACATTCCCCCAAAAACTGGCATCATATCACTCCAGCCCACTCAGAACAAATCATCTTTTGAGATTGACAAATCCTCAGTATACCACAAAAGCAATTTAAAAGAACCATTTGTAGAAATTCATGCCAATCTGGAGGAGTAAAATTAATACCTACTCACTCATGATCTGGCTTTTCCTATGTACCATTTCCCTGTATTTCTTAAGCAGTAACATAATACACATATTACATGAACATCACATAAAAATATATTATTAAACTACTTTGATCTGTGGTTATTACATCAAGGCATACATAATTTACTGCTTTGCCATTGCTCTCTTGTCTGTTTCTCTTTGTTTCATTTCGTTCCCACCTATATTCAGTTTTCTCTTCTTTAACATGTTTCTCAATGGAGGGAGCGGGCAGGTTGATAGGGGGTTAGGAGTTCGAAGAGTTAGTGGGGAGCAAGACCATGGAGGGCTTTGAAGGTGAAGACCAGGATCTTGAACTGTATCCTCTGTGTGATGGGAAACCAGTGAGTCGGGCGAGGATGGGGGTATTAAGATCACGGAGCCTGGTGCAGGAGAGGACACGTAGACGTAAATGTCATACACATGCTTATTAAGACTAAAATCTGAACAACAAAAGCAATATAGATATTTACACTTGTTAAATTGATCCATATATTTAAGGAGCTAAATGTTACTTGATCTCTGGTTTTTGTGTCCATTGAATTTCAACGCCTTAAAATGTAACATTGAAGTGAACAATATATGCATTAAATATGAATGCAACTATTTTTCATCTTTGAACAGGAGCAAGAATTAGACAAATGTGATTCCCATAAAGACTCTAAGAATAAATCAGACATCATATATTATGGTTCCTGAGGGAGAAAGTCTGTTCGTCAGAGCAGAAAGCAGTGATGTCTTTATTCAGTACAGCCTATCACTGACTCCCACTCACCAGCACATACAACATTTCTGAGTCATTTGTAGTGGAACTTGTAGGATCTTTACTAGATTTTGTTCAAAATCAGATTTGTGCAGGATTGTCTCTTTAGCTTTTCTAATCCCCACTAAAATAATTATTAAGGTATCATCCTGCCTCAGTTGGTACCAATCGTGTCTCTGATTTAGAAGGTTGTGGGTTCAAGCCCAACCTCGGGTCATTGAGCTCATGGTTTCTAGGCCAACACTGCCCCTGCAGGTCCCATCTGCTTATTCAGATGGGTGTTAAAGATTCCATGGCACCACTTGCTCTCCACTGACCCGGTTAATAATCACCCAGATAAATGTGGTCATTAATATGGTGGGACTTTGCTGTGCACAAATTAGCCTTCCGTATGTCTAATTTTCTTGTGCATGGTGGATAAAAGATGGATTTTGGTGAAAAAAGTGTAAAATTACCACTGAGTCCCTATTTACAACCGTGGGAACATCCTGCATTTGATTTGAGTAAGATGTGGATCTTTCTGTAAGTAACAGAAAGTTAATCATTTGTGTTTGAAGGATATTTATTGTGCTACCTTGTGTCATATAAATCTAGAATGTGAAATAGTGAATGTGCTACAGATGCAGATAGTATACGTTTCTTAATAGATAAATAGTGATCTTTCTCCAGCTGCTTCATTAATCAATAGTACATGGAGCAACAGATCAAAATAGGATAATACTCAGAATATTTGCAGGCTTCAAGTTATCAACATAATTGAATTTGTATATTTATTCACTCATCCCCTCCAAAATCAACCTCAAAATCATATATATATTGTTTTGTATAAACATTTATTTTTGTTTCATCTTTCGAAAGTTACCATTTTAAGATGTTGCTTTTAAAGATCAAAAAATCATGTGGTCGAAGTAGTATAACACTTATTCCCTTTTCCCAATAATAATAATAATAATAATAATCCTTGCATTTGATATAGCGCTTTTCACGTCGGGAGGACGTCGCAAAGCGCTTCACAGAACACACTGTAAAGTGAATTGACTGTATATTTGTGGGCGAACGCGGCAGCCAATTGCGCATAGCAATGTCCCACAAACAGTCGTAGATTGAAAATGACCAATTTAATTATTGTTTTTTTTTTTGGAGGGATTATTATTAGGCTCTGTGTGGAGTAAGGAAACTTGCCCAAGGTTTCGCCCTCTGTCTGGAATTGAACTCAGGTCTCTCACTTGCAAAGCGAGTGCTCTAACCACTGAGCTACAGGACTCCAATGATGAATGATTTGTCCTCAACCAATCCAGCAGTTCACGTTTTCCCATTGTGTGCCTCATTTACTGCAAGCATCTTTCTTCCATGTGACCAAGCCACCCAACCTTAAAATCAGTATCAAAATGTCAGAAACTATTAGCTATTTCTGTAGAGTAACTAGTGATCTCTTGACCTGAAACAGCAATCTTAGTAAAAAGCCCTCTGATTTGAAATCAGTATTTTTGAATCATGAATGTAAAAAAAAATGAACAAGAAAAAACCATTGGCCCTTCACTTCTTTGTTGCCAATGCCAACACCTTTTGAGAATGTTGCTGTAGATTGGGATGTGGATGACTCACATATACACATTTGAATGCACAGCTGAACTCTGTATCATCTCAGGAATTTCTATTTTAAATGGTGCGTGATACAATGTGCATTGTTTTGTGTTACAAAACATTGTGTTTATCTCCTGTCTAATCTGATGCTGATCCTTCAATCAGTCCAGTTTTGAATTACAACAGCAATTTGCCGTTATATAGCGCCCTGCATGCAGGGTAGCATCTCAGAGCACTTAAATGTGTTCAATATTTCACTGAATTAAATGGGAATCTTTGTAGTTTTTTT